TGTATCAAGACCTTTGTCTCCACCCAGACTCTCTCCCGTGCGTTTGAAGCTCAGTCGATCGTTCTGCTGCATCTTTCCTTCCATATGACCCATAGGGAGGTCTTCCTGATAAGCTCATACCAAATCCTTTCTGCTTTCCGTGGCCATTTAGGAGTGTCAATCAGGAGGAGGAGTTGGATGGGTTTCTCAGGGAATGGGGAAGTGAAGAAGGAATCCCAAAGGGTGGATGCTCTCGCCCAGTAGTCTGTTGCTTCTTTGCAGTATACTAGGCAGTGTACTATATCCTCTACTGCATTGTCCGTGCACACCTTACAAAGGTCAGAACTATCTGGTACAGACTCTTTCCTCCTGATATGTAGCCACTGATTGACTGGTAATGCTGCGTAAGTGACTAACCATTGAAGGCTTCTGATTTTGACTGGTCTGATCATTTTGTATGCTTTCCACGGGATCTTTGTAATTTTATCCGCCTCTTGGCCTAATAACTTTAGCCATCTTGCTTTGACTACGGGATCAGGATTTTTCGTTTTTAGCATAAGTTTGTACCCTGGATCAAATTCTAAATCCTCTATTTCGCTGTATCTAGTTGGAATACTCGTTGCCGCCACGGTCGTAAGGTCCTTACCTTACATAAGTGGAAAGCATCCAGTGTTTCTACTACTGGGTCAAGATTAACGATTGTGGGAGAGTCTTGCTGTTCATGATTGATCCGAAAGAAGTGAAGACCATTACATGACCAGTCAGTGGCAGTCACTATATACTAATGGGAGAACTGATAAGCTCCCTGGGGAACCACGTCCTGAATCAAAACAGGAAAGATCAAAGATTGAGGAGCTCTAACCGGAGTGAAAAGATTGGCACACTTCAAAATAACTCCTAGACCATCAGCAGTGGACAACAACAGGGGAAGGCTGAGAAGACTTGGTCCACTGCAGACCTTCTGAGATGTTTAGTTTCAATCTAGTCTGACAGTCATAGCAAGGCCAATACTGAAAATAAAAACAAGCTGACAGTCAATCCTCCATGCAGTTCAGGGATCCCTCCGCCAAAAACAAGGAAGCATGAATGTATCACGTGTTGTGTTTCTGATGACTTGTCGGCGGAGAAGGAACCCGACTGAGGCTCCCCAGATTGGAAATGGACGCAGGACCATTAGAGAAAAAAAAGGGATGGCTTAGAGAAGAAAAAGGGATGGCCTGTCTGGGCCCAGCCCAGCACAACCCCCCCCCCCCCCCCCACCCCCCCCCCCCCCCCCCCCCCCGGAAATAAAAAACAAAAGGAGATCAAGCGGGAGGCCAAGGCCATTTTTGCTGCCTGGGCGCCAGCATGGCAGCCCGGCATTGTTTTTCTGCCAAACTGGTTTGTGCACTCATTCTTTTCCTTTCTCTGCTCCACCTTTTGTTGTTTTTTCCTCGTCTTTTTCTGTGGGTGTACCATGCCCTTCCCCCCCAGCATTCGAATTTGACGGGGTTGTACTGGGTCTTCCCCACCTTCAGACATTGTTTGCACGGCCCGCATCATTGTGACATTGCTGCAGGTTTGCCCGCTTGGCCAGTTCACCTTCATTTCTGAGGCTAATCCAAGAGCTTCCATTGCCCTCCGGGTGCTCTAAACGCGGAGTGCGACGCTCTGATCAGGACCACGAGTGGCATGAGGTCATCCACAAACATAATCGCTGTTGGAGAGTCAGCTGGTGCCTATGTCGAATTTGGGGAGCCTCCGAATTGATGGACTTTTGCGTAGCAAAGACACGCTAGCCTGATGACAAGTAAGGAGGTTGGAGGAGCGAGCGGGATCCCCTTGGCAGACTGATCTTGAGACTGGCTAGTACTCTGATATTAACCCGTTGATTTGGACACACCCTATATCATCGTTATAGACAACATGGACCCATTTTCGGAAGTTTGGTCCCTCTCCTATTTATATAGACTGGTGTTCAGAAAGGTTTAAATCACCACTACCTCTGAGCCTCTTTCTGCCGAGGCAGGAAAAAACTGCACACCAAGCTTTGGCGAATCGCCATCGCGCCTCTTTTTTTTTATTTGGCTGGCGCTGCCAGCCACTTTGGTCCAGTAGAGCCTGGCCTCCGAAGTTTGCAGAATACCATATTTTGGTGTTTCCAGTTTGCCTGTGAAAGGCAGTGTGGTGTTTTAACTGACCAGATAATCCGCTTTCTCAAAGCCGAAGAGCAGAATTGCAAATTTTCATTCATTTTCTAGTGCTTTTGGACGTGTTCAGAGTCATGATGTTGAATAGCATCCTGGGTTGAATCCTGCCTGGTCAATGTGGAGGCAATTGTTGTTTTGGACTAAGATTCAGAAATCCCACACAGGTAGACTCAGAGACTGACAAGCAGGGAAGGTTCCGGAGGTTGGGAATAAATTTCAAGACAAGAGTTGTACCTCGCAACAGCTCGTACGTTATGGCATCCTGTGTGCCCAAACCAAGCAGAGCTTGAAGGTCCTAGAGGCTGCTACTAGTCTCCTTTCCATAAACTATAGTACACAACCCCACAGCTGTTCTGCAAACTGCCTAGAGGCTGCTACTAGTCTCCTTTCTCTGGAGAGCTTTTCATTACCAACTCGATACACCAAAGTGGGTGTCGTCGCTAACGTTATTGTATTCACCAATGTTCATCAGGATTTGAATTACAAACAGTTATGGGTTTCTTAATCCTCCCCCTGCCGCCCCCCCCCCCTCTCTCTTGCGCAGGGGCGACGCTAATTTTTCTGTATCATTCCAATTTTGACGAACGTCCAGAAGAACAATTGATTAGATCCCTTTACTAGCCTTCTATCAACAAGATAGGACCCCAAACAACCACCCCAGTTTATCTAGCCTGTTTCTTGGCTGGCATTGATTGCCCACTTCTATCTTGTTGATCATTCAGGGCAATTTTCTGTTATGCGGTCTGATTTGACCTTTCCCTCCCCTTCCCCTTTCCCCCAGCACCCACCCCGGGTCCCTTCTCTTTCCCCTCCCCCCCCCCCCCCCCCCCCCCCCCCCCCCCCCCCCCCCCCCCCCCCCCCTCTCTCCACGCAAAGTCATTGGGCCAATCACACATTGTAGAAAGGAACAAAATAGACAGCATTCACCTGGAGTAGATAGAGAAAAGCCCCAAGCTTACCGTTGCAACGGCCCCTGTGTACGCCTCTGGAAGGAGCATTCCGAGCAAAAAAGGCCAAAGAAGAGGCTGAACACACACAGGATGCACATTGAAGAAGCTGTCTTAGTACCTGAAATGAGTAGAAAGCAGCTCATACTACTAGCAGGTACGAGTGTGGCTTTGCTGAACGATACAGGGTTATCCCTTAAGCGCATCAGGCCCTGTGCACGGATTTGTGGTTAAACTTTCAGCCCAGCCTGTTGAATACCGTGGATCGAGAATGGTGGGTGAGTCTGGGGCGGTTTTGTACAGGAATGTGCTATACGTGCCACCAGACATATACACCGCATCTCTTCGCAGTTCAGCATCTTTGGTCAATGATGTACGTTGATGGCCATGAATATCTCAAGCAAGTAAGCCATGAAGACAAAATGTGTGCAGCACACCTGTCATCGTTTTGTTCCCATGCGTCCCATTTTCGGTTCAGGTCTTCGTGCTGTTTTGTGTTGTTGTTTGTCTAAGAGAGAGAGAGAGAGAGAGAGAGAGAGAGAGAGAGAGAGAGAGAGAGAGAGAGAGAGAGAGAGAGAGAGAGAGAATGTGTGCAGCACACCTGTCACTTTTTATCGTTTTTTTCCCATGTGTGACGTGTCCCATTTTCGGTTTAGGTCTTCGTGCTGTTTTGTGTTATTGTTTGTCTGCATGTGTGTGTGTGTGTGTGTGTGTGTGTGTGTGTGTGTGTGTGAGAGAGAGAGAGAGAGAGAGAGAGAGAGAGAGAGACGGGGATGATCAGCAACCGTTCGTTCGCACGTGTTCCGGTCATTCACTTCGGCAGTTACAGAAAAGTTTTATTTGAATTGAGAGTTAAATATACCACTGAATCCTGGCAGTAAAGATGATAACATCTCTCCTGGTGCACACCATCCATACCAAAGGGAGCATCCTCCTCTGGGTCAGTCTCCTTCCCTGTGAGGCTACAACAACAGTCCATATCTTCACTTTTAAGGGCCACAATGGACCGTCTCTGATCACACATCCACTAATACTCGTTGTTAAGACGCTTAGTAGTGCGCATCCATACAGGTCTACAACCAGATTTAGCCAGTCCCAGGGAATCGACAATGCCACAGTTGACAAGGGCTGGAACGAACGGCTCACACCACAACCAGGCATTTTGAAACAAAAAATGTCATGCTCCCTGATTCTGACACATTTCATGGAGCTTGGGAGGAGAATCATAGAGACAGTTGATGGACGGAAAAAGTACCTCCATTTCTGGAATAGTGCTTGCCAATAGGTGAAGACTCTTGTCACAGACTGCTCGCAGTTCTGAGGGGGACACCACTCCAACACGCAACTGCAATAGTACATAAGCAAAGAATCACGTGCAATCTGCAAACTGATAGAGAAGATTTTACAAGCACAGCTTTTTGGGAGAGATACGAATGTCCTAGTCTCCTTACTAATAGTTATATCAAAGATTCTTCTTGTCACTTCCGGTCAGTGCTGGGAGGACGACCTCCTCATCTCAATGCCTACCACAACAGCAGAAGTATGTAAGCGGTGCAGGTGATGGATAACAGATACGAAAAACAAACGACCAAACAAACAAACAAACAGGAGAGTTGAGGAGAGTACAATGACAGGCATTGGGAGACTGGTCTGCTCACCCCAACTGCGTCCACAGCCGAAAAAACCTACAAATGGTGGAGATAATAGAAATAAAACAAGACCAGGTATTGCAGAATGGAAAACCACAATCAAATGGTGGAGATAATGGAAATAAAACAAGACCAGGTATTGCAGAATGGAAAACCACAATCATGCTGGTGAACTATAAACCCTCTTATCACCCTTTCTAATTAATAACTCGACACTCATCCACTAACTCTGCCTTGAACGATGCATGTGAGCTCATCTTCACCAAAACGTTGGTCCTGCTATCAAGAGAGCCAGAAACCTGATGTTCCTGTGACACCTGAAGCTGATGCACACTCAACCAAAGCACAAGAACCCGGAAGCTTGATGTTCTTGTGACACTCAAAGTTGATGCACACTCGTCCCACCCGTAAGAACGCATAAAAACGGCAAAACTCTTCATGAACACATCGACAAGCACAGGACATTTCTGGTGTCCACACACGTTTGTTTCTAAGGGTGCACCAAAGGGTGAGAGGACAGCCCCGTTTCTAAATGAGGGGAGATAGGGAATACTGCACATCGTCAACAGAGCTGCTAAGTAGGTCCAGAGAGCATACTATGCACATCAACATTGCCAAGCTAGTTAACTAAAAGAGCACACTTTGCGAAACTGAGCTAGGCCCAAGCAGGCTAGCTCAGTCGGTTGAGCACGTAAGTGGCACTCAGGAGGTCGTGGGTTTGAAACCCAATCTCATCCTTTCGATCCCCACGCCCTCCTTGGGTAGGTTTCACCAGTGGAGATTGTTGGCTTGGGCCTCCTAGCTGGTTGTGGAGGTAATTCTTTCCAGCCTGCGCTACGTGTTAGGAGCTTGGGTACTGCTCCCCGCACAGAGCAAAGATAAGACAAGGGTTGCATACCCCGACGGTCGGCGGCCCTTGACTGGTGGGCACATACCGGTCGGGGCTTGTCGGCACCCCGCAACCCCCCCATCTCCAAAAGTTTCTCAGCGGATTTGGGCTGTACTCAGCAAGCGCAATACAGTCCCCAACTCAGATTTGAAAATAAATCAGTGCGTGTCACTGCGTGGCTGTTTTCTGACTGGTCGGAAGACCGCTGACTGGTCGGCTGTAAAACAGTCGGCAATCGGAGTCGGCGGTCGGCAGTGATGCAACCCTGATGCATACCTATAATCTTAGGACAGCTTAGAATTCTCCTATGGTTGCAAAAGTAGGTAGCTTCTGGTAGGTCCATAACCCTTACAATTGTCTCTTTGGCCTAGGGTATATCGGGTAGTGTGAGATAATGTGGCATAGGTAGGTAAGCTAGGGTGAGGTGGATACAAGATTGAGAGAAGAAAATAGAGTAGTAAAAATATATCAGGAGAAGACAGCTGTATGGTCAAGGAAAAAAAACAGAAAGAAACTTAGGAAAGAAAAAAAAAAAGAACAAGAAAATTGCAGACAGCATGAGGGCTTTTTAACTTGCAGTTCTTTCTTTTGGCTTTTTTTCATGCTCTCTTTTACTTCTTTTTTAAACTCCCTTCACTTTTCCTCCCACGTACCACTTTGGGCGCCACGGTGCGCTCTTTTGTGCTTTGTCAGAGTCATGTGTTGTCAAAAAACCTCAAACCCTCTCTCTCTCATTCCATCCACAAAACCATCACAGACCATCCATAAAAGAAACTAGATGACCTGTTGCGGCTTCGCTCGCAAAACAAACGCGACAGGTGATGCAGTAAAAACGTGGAGGCAACCGACGGATGCAAACTCTCTCTTTCTCTCTCTCTCTCGCGCGCGCGCGCGCATGCACACACACACACACACACAAACACACACAAACACACACATGGACAGAAACCGTAAAAAAAAGAAAACCCCAAAAAAGCTGACTTCTACCTTACCCTCCCCTGGGCCAGTTCCCCTTCCCCCTTCCCCCATCTCTCTCTCTCTCTCTCTCTCTCTCTCTCTCTCTCTCTCTCACACACACACACACACACACACACACACACAGAGGGACAGAAACCGTAGAGAAAAGAAGAAGAAAAAAAAATATCACGCCCCCCTCTGCTGATGTTCGGCGATGTACATATAAACCGAGGATCCACAATGTGATACAAGGGTACCTGTTGCGGCTTCGCTCGCAAGGAAATGAGGGGAAATGGGAGAAATGAGTCGGGGTGGGGGGATCGGCGGTTTGGCGTGTTGGGTTAAGGGGGTGGGGGTCAAGGGTGTTTTGAGACTCACCTGTGTAGTGTTGTTGATGTGTTGATACACTGCTGCTGGAGCTCAGAAACCTGTGCAAAGACAGATTTTTTATTTTCCCTGCATTTTCATGGGGCTTACCTCTGAGATTCCTGTTGAAGCTGATCTCTGGTGCGTGTGCACGTGCACGCGTCGTTTTTCTTTTAGTTGCTTGTCATCGTCGTCGTCATTTTGGGGTGTGGGGTAGTTAGTT